TAGCATTTCGCCATTTTGAATATATTAACATCCTTGACTACGGTATAGATGCACTAATTTATCTGTTCTTCAACGTTTCGCATCCGTTTCAGCTCATTTTCTATACCGTTGAAACTTGTTTTATTTAATGAGTGATATGTGTGAAAACCTAAGAAACAAATATATTACTATAACTATCTCTTATCTATTAGACAAGTCCGTCCGTCTGTCTGTGGTGCTGTTTCAGCGGCCAAACCGTAAGAGATATATTAAAGAGAATATTTAAGTTATAAGTTAAGAATAGTCTGATAAGACTACAAACCGGATTTGAGTAACGTAGCACTTCCGGTTTTCGAGAAATCACGAATTTCAAACGAAACCACACAAAATCTCCGAAGTTCTCAATTAATTTTTGGTGAACATTTGGTTCACTGGTTTGCTAGTCTCTTATCTATTAGACAAGCCCGTCCGTCTGTCTGAGGTGCTGTTTCAGCGGCCAAACCGTAAGAGATAGATAAAGAGAATATTTAAGTTATAAGTTAAGAATAGTCTGATAAGACTACAAACCGGATTTGAGTAACGTAGCACTTCCGGTTTTCGAGAAATCAGGTTTTGGTGAACATTTGGTTCACTGGTTTGCTAGTAAAAATATATTATTATAACTTCATCATTAACATCACGACCAGGCTGTGACCCATCACGCGGGCGCAGTGCGCATGGTGGATACTAACGACAGCAGATGCAGCAGGGACGCACGGAGGAGCTCGAGATAATAAGATTTGGTCACCCATGCAATGACCGACCATTGCGACAGTTGTTTAACTTCCACGATCGCAGGCCGTAAGCGCTATCCACCAGCGCCATCGAGCTCGCTTGACTAGTATTTTGTAAATATCTTTTATATATTAGATGGAGAGTATATTGAAGGGAATTAGGGAAGCAGTTAAGATAAACTTTTTTCTGTTGTGTGAATGGCACTCTGTACTGAGCTACGAGTAAAACACGATTCCCTGAATTAGGCAACGAAAAAGTCAACATTAGGCAAACTGCGAATCGTTGCCGGAAAACGGATACATTCCCAACTCACTAAGTACATTATTCAGATGAACCTTAAGATGTCACCTACTTCTAACCTTTACATACAGAGTCTGAGAAAACGAAAAAAAACCGGACAAGTACGAGCCGGACTCACCCACCGAGGGATCCGAATCAATTTGTTGGTACGCAAAAAACACGTTTTTTTCCATTAACAAAGGTTGCATTAACATCTTCAAGGGACTGTAGCTGAGTGAATATACGGTTTAAATTTCACCTCGATGCCATTTCCGAGATAAACGGTCTTGGCAGACAGACGTACTCGTATGTCGTATGTAAAAGAAAAAAAGAGTATGAACATCAATATGATTTAAAGTTTAGTGTGCAAAGTTACTTATCTCTCATGGCATGTTCTTACATACGAGCAGGTGTTGTTACAGCTACCACCCAACTGGTACCGAGATAGACCCTCGGTTGCAACAATGGACTTTGGGAGTACAAAGGCCGTAGCTTTGGAGAACAAATCAAAGATGGTGGTTCAATAAATGCAATTTAAATTAATTAATATCGCGCTTTACTACATGGCGGCGGCCCGCAGTGGAACAATGATCCTTATTTAATATAATAATTGATAATTTTATGTCTCGCTGTGCGATTGCTAATCGAATGCCAATGGAATCGATAAATGTCGTATAAATGGCGCATACGTCACTTGAAGTTCGTTTTTTTTTTCATTGAAAATGTGATTTCAATATTTAATGAAAACAAGTCGTGAAATGGATTGTAAATAATTTTCTGAATGCCAGTTAATCGTAATTCGGTTCAGTATTTATAAAGATATTACGATAAATACTTTTTACAATGAACCGTTGTTTGTGATCGTGCTTTCAGATACAGCAATGAATTAGTACACAAAACATAATGAAGGATGTGCGTTCGGTCGTAATTAATGGTTGTTTAATTGTGCTACTCATCATTTCATAAGTTATGTACCCATTGTTCACATATTACTTGTTTGAGCAAACGCCGGTCTGTGACGTCACGTCGCCTAAGAAAAATCGTGTACCATGAAACGTACAGGCGGACAACAAAGTGATCCTGTAAGGGTTCCGTTTTATCCTTTCGGGCTACGGAACCCTAAGAAACCGTCCAAGTGCGAGTCGGACTCGCGCACGAAGGGTTCTGTACCATTATTTTTACAACATTATACACTATAGTATGCTATATTATCAAGCAAAAGACAGCAAAAAAATCACGTCTCTTGTATGTATAAATGTTGGAGTAAAATATTTATTTTATTCTGTTTTTAGTATTTCTTATTATAGCGGCAACAGAAATACATTATCTGTGAAAATTTCAACGGCTAAGAGCGAACGCGAGCTGAGATATATTTGAGAAATAGGTATTTGAAATAACTACTGCATTGGCAAATACCGTGCGATAGGAACAATAGTACCCTAGCACGAACCATTATCGACTTCGAATAGTTTGCAAACCGAAATGTCAATGTCAAATTTTGTATGGAAACTTGAACAGCAGCGGCACAAATTACGTAACGAGAAAGAAATAAAAATCAGTACACATTTGACAATGACATTTCGGACTCGCAAACGATATGAATACGATATTGGTTCGTGCTAAGGGTACTGTAGTTAACGCTGAAAATTGAATATAAAATAGCAAAATTCGAGGTTTGGCTCTCGACGTTTTCCTCCTCGAAAATTAGATATATGTAAAAGAAATTGTACACAAAGAATAATTAGTAATTATAAGTGATACTAAGCCTCTATGTTTTGCTTTTTTTGTAAATGCTTATTAAATATCCACGTCCTTAGTAGTGATAAAAAATTGATTATTTTTGGCCTTTTTCGAGGGCTTCTAGTTTCTTTGAAACACAAGTTATCGAAAAAAGAAGGCATAGATTGAGTTAAATTATATTTAGTGTATGAAGATAAATTCTTTAGTGATAAAAATCAGAGAGGAATCAGTCGACAACGTTTGTATGGAAAAAACATTATCCACCTCCCCTCTTAAGCTATCACGGTTCACACGATACAGAAAGAAAGACAGTCGCGCAGCGGGGTCTCAATAATAGAGTCCCCATTTTACCCTTTGGGTACGGAACCCTAAGAAGAACCTTAGTACACGTACGTATTGCGGTAGGAAATATCGCAGTTTCGTTTCTTGCACGATTTCACAAATCGCTCCGGGGCACGGCGCTGTTGACATAAACATTTCGGGCCGGTGAAAACATCCTGCCATAGAGTTAAGAATGATTTAGTACCGACACAGCGGCGCGGGTTTCTTGCCATAATATATGTCGCGAACGTGGAACGAATCGGCCATGTTTTGGGCAGTTGTATGATATATCACATTGAAATTTTGAAACATTAGTAAAATATACAAACAATTGAAGGAGGTAATATAAATGCACCTTCAACAAAATCATCGCTTGAACAGTTTCAAAACTGTTGTGCTTGTACTGATGAGTGTCGGCCGTCCCGCCTCTAGTCTATTTGACCAATTACAAACAAAATAACCTTTTTACTAATTGTGCGTTAGGGTGAAGCCGTGGTCAAGGAATACAAAGGAAAATCATCGTAATAGCAATAACTTTGTATACCTATAACATAGTTAGAAACATCTCACAATAATGATATTATTCGAAAGTGTAGCAAATTAATTATGTATAATTTTTAATTTTTAAATTATATTTTCACAAATATTCATATCATCTAACTATGTTTATATTGTTATAAACTTAATTATATATATATATATATATATATATATATATGACAGCAATTTATTGCATTAAAATAAAAATAAAAATAGAATGCTAGAAAAAAACCCCATAAGTTGAATTCAAAAATTATCACCCTCCTTGATAAGAATACATGAGCGTTTTGGTTCGTACTCTTGTGTAAGGAAGGACTATGTCCCAGCTGTTAAACATTAATATTTGATGATGTATATAAAAATCTAGCATAATAAAAATATAATTATTAAACTGATTCTCATGCAAATATATATGCAAAAAGTACCCCTGAAAGGTGAAATTGACTTAATATTTCTTACAGCATTATCGGTAACGCACTCTTCTTCACATCCATTTACTATTCAAATTGAGATATTTATGTACCCAGCTGAGAAACGTATTCCGATATGTAATATTTTTTTATTAACCATGACCTAGGGACTACTTCATAAAACATAAGCCCTCGAATATCATCGACCATATTCCAAGAAATAGCTTTTATTATTCAATACAGATTCTTGTATTATGTCCTCATCTTGAATTTCATTCGAATAAATTTATGAATAAATAATATATATCTGTACTAGGTAGAATATTACATACCTTAGTTAAGAAGACATTTAAAAACATCGCAGGCACTGAAAACTTATTAACTAATGTTTGATATGAAATAATGAAACAATTTTTTAATTAAAGAAAATAACGCAATGAAGAGTTGTCGGTTTTACTTCATTTAATCCAAAGGAATTAAATAATTCAGATGCAAAGGCATATGAATGGGTTATATAGTACCTACATTCTGGATTGAGAGCAAAATTAGTATGGGATATGCCAGCTTCTGAGTTATTCGGGTCGATAGTAAAAGCCTATGAGAGTCTAGTCACTAGACTCTCATAGGCTTTTTTACACTAGACTCTAGTGTAACTTCGGAAATTGCACTTATCCCTGAGAAGCCTTAATACTTATGCTTTGAAAATTAAAAATAGTGTAATTTTAATCCTAAATAATAATCTAACTTTGTTGAAACTTTATGATTTATTTTAAGAAAATTGTTTTATGCCAACAATAATTATTATTTGTCCTTGTTATTAACTCTATGCTAGTAAGCTTGTTTAGAAAACACCGTTAAAAGATTTTTGTAACTCTATGGTAAATCACGTTTGAAAACAATTCTTAAACTCAAAGGGCAATTTCCTCTCAGTATCAGCAAGTATTAAGAGGCATAGAGATGTGGAAAAGAATAGCTGTGATAACATTCGCCATCTCTTTCTACCATGCTACAGGAAAATTGGCAACAATCGAAGACACAGATGACTCGGGTGAGATCTAATTTTCCTGAAGAACGCAAAGGTTTTTTTTTAAATATAGGAAAAGCCAAATTATATTTTCATATTTTCCATTCAATCATATTTAGAGGAGGAGGAGCTCGATGCAGCAAGTAGTTAGCGCGTTCGATTGTGATCGTTGAAGTACTTTCGCAGTGGTCGGTCATTGGATGGGTGACCAAAAATTTTGTAGCTCGAGCTTTTCAGTGCTTCGGAAATCACGTTAAGCCGTTGGTGCTTTGCAGTCGTTCGTACTTACCAATCCGCACTGGGATCGTGTAGTGGGTCATGGTCCAATCTCCCTTTTCCGTCCATAGGGAACTACTGTGCTCCTGTATGATAATAGGCTGATGATGATGATAATGATAAATCACATTTAGCCGTGGATAAGAAAAGGCTCCAGAAATGCCTGAAAAGGAAAACAATTTTTGCCCACTACGCAGCTACGTAATCAGACTGATTATTTTCGATTAAACTAAACATCATTTTCGGACGGTTCATAATAAAACGATTTATCGTAGAGTTCATATTTTACTTCCAAACAAAAAGTTTCTCTTTATAGAAAATTTCCAGCCAGATAACCTCGGCCGATTTGGAATTTCTCCTCATTTTCTTTACAAATGAAAAATGAAACAGTGTAATGCTTCAATATAAATACAAAAAACTTATTATATAAATAAAATGTAGGCTTGCTAGTATAACATAGATTACCTAAATTTTAATCTTTATAACGTCCGGCGGAAGTAATGGCCCACGGAAATGGTCTGATAAATATCAATTTTTGATAATATTTAAAAAACATATTTAAATATGAGCATTTCTACTTTAACGTAGGTGAGTAAGGCTTGTATACACCTTTAGTTCCCGCTACCTGTGAAAGGGCCCCGCTCTCGAGCTAGTAAGTACGCATACTATCTTAACTACATAGTAGACTAGAAAACCTCAAAATTTCAGCTTTGCTAAAATGACGTAGGACTGGGGGCTCTGGGATCTTACTCTTGCAAGAAAGTAGCTTTGCTCTGCTTCTTCTATCGCATTTATCACAGGCAGTGTTTAGAGGAATTGTTAGGATTAATCCCAGCTGTTGCTTTTTGCCATCGTACAACGCGTCAAAAATTACATCCCCATAATCTTGACACGTGGCTATCCACAACCTTGCGATTTTCTCAATTTTTTTAATACCACGTATGACAAAACTGTGGAATACATTGTCATCAGGAGTGTTTCCGGACCAATTTAAATCAGTTTTTTATACTTTTTATTTTAAAGTTATAACTTTTATATCATTTACATTTGTAATGGAAATTGACTTCATGAGTTATTTTATATGGAAGTCATTTTTCAATTTGACGACTCTGTATATAATACAGTGAGAAAAAAACAGCTCTTGCTGAGTTTCTTGCCGGTTCTTCTAAGCACTTGGTCTCCCGCTGTAGATTGCGAACCGATGGCATAGCTTTTCAACATTCACAAGTGCTTGTAACGACTTAACGTGCCTTCCGAAGCACAGAGGGGCTCGAGATAGTAATAAATTTTTAGTCACCCATCCAATGACCGACCGAACGCGCTAACCACTTGCGCCATCGAGCTCCTCGGTGTGATCACTGATCTCTAACCCGTGAGCAGTCAGCTCGTATGCTCCCTATACTAAAGAAAAGAAATATATCCTCCCCTTGCCTAATAGTAAGCGGGTACAATAATCGCAGTTTTACCATGCTGACCCTATCCCCTGACCAGTTGGTTTCATATTCTAAGTCTGTGAAGCTTTAAAACTTCACTTATCAATAGGAATATACTACCAAAAGGTGGTTATTGTTATTTCATCATCTTGTTACAATTCTAGCGAACCCTGACTTGGATGACTTGGACAGCAGCGAGAAGGTGGGAGCGTCGGTCACGCAGATAGTCCAGCATCCGTACGCCGCCACATTGTTAAAGAACGACTCGTACGTCTGCAGCGCCATCATACTCAACACCAACTGGGTGCTGTCCTCGTCGAAATGTTTCGACTCGTAAGTACTTAACACAGGAATAACCTAAGGATTTTGCTAAGTATTTTTTTACGTGCGGATTGGTGGGTGCTAACGACTGCAAATGCAGCCCGGACCAACGGCTCAGCGTGCCTTCCGAAGCACGGAGGAGGTCCGTGTTCGCGCTATTTAAACCATAACCTTATTAGTTATTACTACCAAAATGTTCAACACGAGTTAAAGAAGAATGTTATACATAATTTGCTAAAAGATGGTTTAAAACAGTTTCTAACTTTTTTTGTAGTAGGTACAACCGTAATAGATTTTTTGATACTAATCGTTAGTGTTGATGAAAAGGGTTGCAAACAAGCTTAACGCCCGCCTGTGGGCCAATCGCCTAACCAGATTGCTTTGGAAACGCTATCGCTTACGATTTCATTTTGTTATTTCTAACCGCCGAAATACCTCACGCTCATTTTCTTTAATATTGTTATTACCAATGCAAAAGAAAAAAAAAGAGCGCGAGGCATTTGAAAACCTCAGGGGGCTAGAAATAACAAAATGAAATCGTAAGCGATAGCGTTTTCCAAAGCAATCCAGTTAGGCGATTGGCCCCCTGGTGTTAAGCAGCATAGTGTATAGACACTTGTGGCATCAGTACCCTTATACATTATCAATTTTTGTATGGAAACTTGAACAGCAGCGCTACAATGGACGTAACGAGAACTAAAAATCAGTACACATTTGACAATGACATTTCAGACTCGCAAACTATTTGAATTCGATAATGGTTCGTGCTAAGAGTACCTTTACCACGTGGAACCCAGAAAACCTTAATTAACTCTGGAACACAACATTACTATTATTAATTATTATAAAGCTGCAGTGTGGTTGCTTCTCCGAAAGGGCGAGTCTTCCCCTCTTTCTGAACTTTACTCTGAATTTATTCTTTGTAGAATATGGGCAATATAGACCAGTTATGTTAAGCCCATACATTACCAAAACTAGCTTTATTATAAAATAAACTATGTAGGTATAATAATAAATCCAATAAATTTGATTGGATATGAGTATAACCCATCAAAAACTAGACGATGGAATTATATTCGAATATTAAACAAAACATTACAGGATGTCACAAGTATTTTCAAAAGCATATCGGGGGTAAAATATTACCAATTTATACGATTGCAAAAGCACAAAGCAACAAATGATAGTGAGAAAAAAAAACAGTACACAAAATTTATTACCAAAACAAGAAGAAGTACAAAAAATGCTATATCGAGACAACTGCCAAATATAACTTTCTTACACAAGGTGTTTTAGAGCTGCCCCCATAAATAATTCTATTGAACAGCCTCAGCCAATATGCTGGAGGGAAAGGGTCCACAATGAAAAGAAATCCCGGGCTTGGAGCACATTTCGCCCGTACAAATCGTATGCCGATATAGGTCACTAGTGAATCCTTGGTCTCTGCTACAATTCATAAGCGTAAGCGGGTATCTGTGAAAGAATTATATTGGACAAATCATAACTGGTTTGCGAGCAAACCAGCAACAACTGAAGTAATTGTTTTGATAATAATATTAATGTGGGACTCTTATGCAGATAAGCAGATGTATTGCGTATATTTAATTTATTTTGCGCATTGAGTGTACACCGTATGTGTAAGAGCGGCCATAGATGGACTGCTCGAGCATTTAGCCAGCGACAACAGCTGCTCGGGCAGTTGACAGCTTAGCGAAATAGTAGCTTCAAGCTGTTGACACTGACTGCTCGGGAAGCCAGTGTATGTGTACTGTAGTCCGCTATGCAGTCGCAGCTTTGAGCAGGCCATCCCGACTGCTTCAAAATACCCGTGAAAATTTAAATTCTTGTAGCTATAAATACTTAGAGTCGCCATAAGTATTTACAGCTGCAGTATTTTAATCAAATTTAATGGTCGTGGGTTAAAATATTGACCATGTGTTTGGGTTTCACTCGGTAGCATAATGGTTGGCATGAATAGCGAAGAAGACAGGTTGGAATGAGCCTGATATAAAGGCTAAGTTCAATGTTTTCCTGGTATTACTGTAGATGCAAAAATCAAGCATTTCCTAAATGCGTAAATAAAATATAATAAAACCTAGTAATCACTTCATATTATGAAACAAAATGCCACTCAGTTTGTAAGTTCGCAATGATTTCAAAAACTTGGACGCACGGAATTGGTCTTCACCAAACCGTATTCAGGGCGGATCACAATTTAAATAAAAATTGTTGTGGTTTTATGAAACCACGATGCAAGAAAGAAACTTTTAAAGTGTTTACTAAGTTGATGTTACTTTGGCTTAAAGAAAATGGAAAAAAGCCCTTCCGTGGCTAGGAATCGAACTTCGGCCGCCCGAGTAGCAGGCAAGCTTTCTACCACTGAACCACCGATGCGTGTTGATGAATGATATATTGGTGGTGATATAATAAAAGCTTCACTTTAATAAAATCGTGTCGCTTGGATTTACTAACTTGGACCACAATTTTCGCATATAAGTTTTGCACATGGATATTCGTAAACAAAATTACGTGTCTACCTATAGAGACAAAAATGAAAAGTAACAGGATAATCGTTGATGCCGATCTGATGAACCTTATTCTATTATCGAAAATGTAAATCGAAAAATAGATTTCATATTCAAGATAAATGGGTTATGAGAATTCCATTACGATACGACTACGACTGTTTGATACAAAGAGGATTTTTTTATGATTGATCCCATTATGCCCTAATGGGAAAACGTTACAAGCAGAAAATTGTTATTTCGTTTTTTGTACATTGGTTATATTAGAAATACATTCCGAGACGGGCTGCAGACCGCAAACTGCAGCGACACCATTTGTTTATATGAATATCTATGAAATTGATTCCGAACGCACTGACACTGCGCCCCGCTGCAGCAACGCGTGAGTGACCGAGGAATGGTTCTATGCATTTTGCAGTCGCAGCAAGTCGCCGTGCTTGGAAAAGCAACCACGACCGCAGTCGCTAGCCGCAGTGTAGCCTGCGGTTGCAGTCTGCAGTCCATCTCGGAATTGTACCTTTAAACGGGTTTGAACTATTTTTTTAATTTCATATTCCCGCATTACGGTTCTATTCACGAGAATGTTGAAATATCCTATCTTCGTTGTTTACATTTTCAACGTTTGTGTTTGTGTAAGTGATGTGAATTGATATCATTGTTGCGCTGGAAGACGGAGGATGCAGGCAGCAGTGACGTGAGAAAATAGATGCCAACATTAACCTTAGAATTTCATGAGTCTGTAACTAAATGGAGTAAACAATAAAATTTATCATTATTAAACACTTTGGCAGAAAAACCTCAACAAAATTTAAATACTTAAAAAGGTCGTATTTCGGCCAATAGGCCACCACTAATATAACATTACTAGCTGTCCCAGCGAACTTCGTACCGCCATAAAAATAAGGGTTGATTGTAAAGGGTTGAAAATTCAGGGTTATATGTATTTACTAATGCTGTATCATAAAAAAATAAAGAAATATCTAAAATTAAAAAAAAAGAAATTAGGCTTGGATTACCCTTAACATTTAGGGGGATGAAAAATAGATTACATCCGATTCTCAGACCTACTGAATATGCATATAAAATTTCACGAAAATCGGTCGAGCCGTTTCGGAGGAGTTTAACCACAAACACCGCGACACCAGAATTTTATATATTAGATTGGTCCATACTCTATATTTAATATTGGCTCGGTCAAAGTCCAAAGGAAATTGGCTGGTCTGGGGCGATTGCTGACGATATCATTAGATAGTGTGGTTACAGAAACTGTAGCTGTAGATTGTTATTAACTACTCGGGATAGTTGATGGTTTTCCGCGTTGTCCGTCACAGAGTCAGGCCTTTTCCGCACTGCGATATTTCACAGTGCGATTTTTACTCTCATGTATTTTATTCCGCAGACGGAATTAAAGATTGTATGCATTGTGATTAAAATTTCCTACGACTTTTATCACTTTAAAATGGTTCCCTTCTAAGACAAACGTCTAAAATGAACAAAAACCTACATCACATCGCGTTCAATTTTCATAAAATCTCAGATTTTTATACCGAGCGAGTTTTTCACTCGCAGTGCGGCTACTCTCATTTATTTATTTGATACATATACAGCAATACATATCATACATTACAAAATTATTATTAACTTAAATCAATTATTGTATGCTTGCCACTTACGAGTGTACACAGCATTCAATATAAAAAGGACAGTCTTTTAACTGTATTAAAATTTAAAAAAACAATTAAATTAGAGTATGATTAAATTTTGATTTAAAAAAATAATTGAATTAATTAATTAAATAAGTGGTTCTGACTATCATTAAATATAACTTTTATTTTTTAAGCATGTAACTGTTTCATGTTTAAATCTAAAGAAAATATAACTAGAAAAAATCCACGCGGACCAGGCAGCAGCGGCGCTGCCTTGCAGCTTAAGAATGGCTAGAAGAATTTGAAAGCGGCCATCAGGGCCGCTAGCATAATTGGTCAGTGTATCGTTAAATATGTCAATATCTCCCAATTTGCCATTCATGTCCATTATAAGTGTAACAAATTCTAGTGAAAGCATAATACAAGCCCAGATTAGTTCTACATCGAAGCAGACTGCAAGTTCTGTATTAAAGAGATTCAATATGTTACAGAATTGCGAGAATGAAAAGCCGCGCGGTGAAATATCGGATGCGGGCTCTAAAGCTCTTGCCCTCTCTCAAGCTCTATTTCCTGGGTTAGCGGTGCCGTCACATAGCGGTCGTAAGACCGCGGTGAATGGCGTCACTAGACGTTGTCTATGAAAACTAAATGGCGCTATTTCCTAGAGAGCGGTAATTCTTCTTTAGGTCTTTTTGCGTCAGTATATTACGGTCATTATATGACGTGCATCATCGCTATTTTAAGAAACCAGAGCCTAATCGAAAGAGGGCCAAACTCAAACTGAAACTCAAACTCATTTATTCAGTCTAGGCTGTTACAAGCTCTTGTGAAAGTCAAACGCTACGCCATCGGTTCGTAAATCTACGGCGGGAGACCTTGTACTGAGAAGAACCGGCAAGAAACTCAGCAAGGGCTATTTTTTTCTCCCTGTTTTGTTTCATACAGTGTCGTCAATTAAAAGATGACATAAGAGAGGTAAGGCATAGCTGATTTCCCGCTCGGATTGGAGCGCCCGTCTGGGGAAAGAACCTGCATCTTACAGAAGACCACAGTAAAATTCGCAATGGTTTATTTTGATTTACCAACAACAACTGGAGTTTAGCAATGACTCAGATTGTTGGTAACAATCGATTTCTACCAATTTCAAAAGAAATTAACATCCAAATTCAAATGAAAAACTTATTCAAAACTAACTTCCAGTCGCCTAGCATTAAAACCCTAAAGTGATTAATACATAACGAGTCAGACTCAATATAACCTTGTATAGACTCTAACAAATTTACCCTCAGCTGCCTTTCAGAACAAAAACTGACCCGTACCTTTGTACGACCCTGTAAACGGACTTGAAGAATTGATTAACCCTCCAGGGCCGCATTCAGGAATTTGGGTCAAATGAATCAACTCTTTCATACAGAATAATTGAAAGCGATACCAAAAGGGAAAGGGCGTTTTCTGGCGTTTTAGCTCCAATCGGCTTCTCTGTTTTTTTTTATAATATTACAGAAAGCAAATTCCGTTGAAGAAAACCAATACATTAAAGAAATACAGGCTTTATATTTGAGTACTTTTATGTACTAGAGAGATAAGAAAGAGGTTAACACAGAAAACAGAAGGGCCTTGAAGGGCGGGGCAGGCGGCACATTTATATGTGAGGAAATGCTCACAACTTGACCATAACTTGGTTCTGATTGCATCGCTGATTGGTTCGATTGTTTGATGTCGCGTCGTATGATTGGCTATTATCTATTAGATGGAAGTGTAGGGGGGGCGAGCCGAGCGACATCAGTTCCCGTACAAACGGTCTATGAACACCCTTCTTACACCGTTTTGTGTTCTGTGCAAACAAATATATGACTCGCCTGCGATACCGTACAGTTTCACAGCTTGTCTACTACATTGTCTTTAGAGAATAGTGATATAACACTACCCATTGGTGAAGTTGTGTTTCTGTCCGTGAATAGGGTTTCAACTTTCAACTTCCAGGCTCCACAGGGTAATTTAGTCTCGGAAGAATCCCTAAACGGGGATCCCGCGGCTTCGCGCTAAGCATCTTTGAGGGTATTCGCAGGGTTTTGTAGCGTATATTATGCCGTAAAGCACCCGTAAGAGTTACGGGGTCCTCAGTGGGTAGCCGCTGCTGGGGCTTGTAAGGCTTGCAGAGCCAGGTGCGAGGTCCGTTCGGCGGTGTGCCTCTTAAAGGCGCCGTCGTCTGTAAACAGTATTTTAAAATTCTAGCTGTTAATGCTTAAAAATAACCATATAACGTCTGATGATGAGTTAGATGACATAGAGAAGGAAGGCGTAGCGGATTTGTTGCTCGGATTGGAGCGTTTGCCTGGAGAAGTACCCTCCATCTTAGAGAAGATCATAGAAAATTACACTACCTTTTGGTGGTGTTGTGTTTCTGACGGCGAGTATGGTTCCAGGGCTCCGTGGGGTAGGGTATTGGGTCAGGATAGACAACGGCCGACCCTTACCCAATACTCTACCCCGCGGACCCAATACCCTATACGCCCTCCTACCCCGAGGACCCAATACCCTATACTCCCTATACCCACCCTATACTCACACCGTTGTGCGAGTGATATTTTTGGCCGTGGCCACTTACCATCAGGCGGGTCATACGCTTATTTGATACCCTTTTAACATAAGAAAATATCTCGATATAATACATTTTTGATTACTTAGAACAGCGTAGTCGAAATCTACGAGTTGATCCCAGCCTCACTCACTTTGAAACAAAGGCGTATTTTAAGGTTCGAGCCCTGTTTTGTTTTTCCTGTAATCCTTATTTATATTGCCTTTCCTTTTCCTTATAATAGAACTAATAATATAAAAGTCAGTTACATTTAGAAATAAATACATTCTAGGAAAGGAATATTGAATTGAGGCAAAAGATTTTATGTTTGTTACATAATTGCGTAAAAACAAGTATATAGTCTGTGCGGAAAGAGAATGGGCGTGGCGAAAAACGGAACTAACATTAAGATTTTTATTTGGCAATCTAACCCAGCAATCTGTAAAACGTCTAAATTTTGTATTGATATGGATTTGTTTGTTGTTGTGATTTCTTGCGGTTTTTTTGTATTCAATCATGTCTAAAAGAGGTAAAACCTTACATATACGGTAGAAAAGCACTACAGCGCCCTCCAATCTAAATCCCATTCTCTTTCCGCACAGACTCTACCTATAGAATTTTCATAAAGTTGTGCACTCAGATTTATTTTTGAATTTTTTATTTCACTATTCCTGCTCGAAGAAAGAAATTTAGTGACTCATTTCTTTGTCGTACTATTTGCAAGTGAAATTCTTTGCCCGCCCCTTCTTACAATCTGGGGTAATTAAAGAGAGGCGTGAAGAAGCATTTCTGCAGGTCGGCAAGGTGAGGATGGATAGTGTGGCAGTTCATAACTGCTGTACTAGCTGTCTTCACGTTTGGATTTTATCACCACTTAACATCAGGTGGGGTAGAGTCATTTGCCTACCAAGCTTTAAAAAGAAATACACGGATTAGGGGCCACGGCACTTTTTATCACAAAAATAAACTTAGGTTTCTATGGAATGCTTCAAAAAGAAACTAAATACTTAGTATAATAATCTATTTAAAGTACGATATCTGAATGGAAGCCATCAATTCTTATCCATAAAGAAATCAATCATCCTTGTATTTGAGCATCCATAACTACGGTTCACATCCAATATTTCAACAAAGTGTTTTCACGTCAGTTTTAAAGATGATGCATTCATCTCCACGGTAGCTTTATGAAAACTGAAAACTTACTAAACCACACGAGATGGCACCTTAACCCCTTCGCGTTAAGATTCAAACTTCAAAATCTGCAGGGATTTCGAAAGCTTTTTTATTTTATGAAAGCAATTTTTACTTATTCTCCTCCTTTTAAGTTCGGAAGTTACAGAGTTGCTCGCTTATCAGTTTATAGTAATTCTTTCACTTTTGTGTATTAAAAGTTTTAATGCTTATCGTTTATGAAATAATTAATTAACGCTGAAAAGTTTTAATCAGCCTTATCAGTTGTAAAGCATATTTACGTTGCTCAAATTTAGTGAGTACCTAGATAAATAAAGATGTAACAAGAACACATAAATTTCACAGATTATAAAGTTAACTAAATTATGCTTATTGTGGGTTACCTACTATGCTAAGAGACTGGGCAGACATCGAGCCTAAGAGGTGCTAGAAGAAATTCGATACGGTCATTGTAATAATAATAATATTTACTTGTAAAAAATTGTACATGGTAATAATCTTATAAATATGTTAAAACTAAGGCCAGTATTTCACTCAAAGTACATATAGACATCATCAGCCAAACTAGGAAGTTCATCCTGTATTTTGGCTTCAGCGCCCTTTTCTAATTTTATTTGCAATGTAACCATACAAATAACATGAGTACCATATTTTCTTACATTAATCAATATTACAGTACATTAATATAATATGTGTGTGTGTGTGTGTATTTGTGTTTGTATGTATGTGTGTGCGTGTATGTGGTGCGTATGTAGATATATAATCATAAACATTTATAGGGTCGTGGGAACCAATTCCTCAGTTTTTTCGTAATCCAGTGAAAGTAAAAACTTAGAGATCTTCTTTTTAACTTCATATTTGTTGAGGTGTACGATTGTAATACACTAGGGTTGTATGTATTTACTAATGCTGTATCATAAAAAAATTAAAAAATATATCTAAAATTGAAAAAAAAATTAAGGGTGGATTACCCTTAACATTTAAGGGGATGAAAAATAGATGTTGTCCGATTCTCAGACCTACCCAATATGCACACAACATTTCATGAGAATTGGGAAAGCCGTTTCGGAGGAGTTTAACCACAAACACCGCGACACGAGAATTATATATATAAAGATTGGTTAGTGCGCTCGCCTGGATTGCGAAAGGTTGGTTGTTGGCGTTGTTGGTGCAGTTTTCAATCCTGTCTGAAGCTGTGAAACAAATTTTCATCGTCAGAAGTTAAACGAGGTTAATTAAGGGTTCCCCTCAGTCCGTCCCGTGACCGCAAGTAATATATAGGCATCTAATGACAGATTCGTTTTTGCCTGCAGGGATGTCATCTCGTCCTACGTGACACACAAGAACCTTGGAAATTTCACCATCCGCGCGGGCAGCTCTTACAACAATAAAGGAGGATCGCTATATAAGGTTTATTTTTTTTAAATTTATCAGTTTAGATACTAGTGGTCCGCCCTCGCTTCGCTTCGGTGTAGAGCTGTAGTATAGAATTCGATTTTTTCTAACCTTCCCTAGACCTCCACGAACATTTCAAGACCAAGATAAGATAAATCCGTTCAGCCGTTCGCGAGTTTTAGCGAGACTAACGAACAGCAGTTGATTTTTATATATATAAAAGATATTGTTATTTTAAGTATTTATCTGGTAGATTTATAAATCTAAACAGTCGAATCCTGCCCGAGTTTGAACCGAGGGGAATTGCTCCTAGTAAAATTTTCTTTAGAATTATCAATTTATTTAGGAACTATGTAATATCCTTTACTAGGTGAATAGTAGAAGATAGCTATGGTATTGAGTTCACCGTTTTCAGATTTGTGAATATCATGATGAAAAACATAACTATATTTGTTATTTTTGTAATTGTTGTGCTCTATTCCGTCTACGTACTTTAATCGGATCGCTCGTTACGGTATTTTTTTGTTTATTTTATTACACAGAATAATCTAGCCCCACAGTAATCACTGTGGTAAGGATTGTGTTATGCAATACTAGAGTAACGGATATAAAAAAAATATACTGATACACATATAAGTATAGAAATATATGAATATGTAGAAACATCCATGACTTAGGTACAAATGCTCGTATTCAGCATATTAACATTTGCGAATTTGCAAGTCGCGTCTTAATTTGTCATTAGATCAAAGCGGTTCCTCAAACTTGTATTACATAACTATGATTTTTTTCTGGACATCAACTTCAGCCTTACTGACGCGACGCCAAATAGGTATGGAATCGTTGGAATGTTGCTTTCAGAATATTGTTATGGTTATTACCAATGTCACTTATCATATTCTGTCAAGTTGAGCTCAACAGTGAAATAAGGTCAAATGTTTGTGAATACGTTAGTAAGTTATCGAACCTAACTGCCAATACATGCTGGCCAAGCTTAACCCAACGCGAGCGTAAGCAAACTGACTCATGGCAAGTGCAACTGTCCAAACGTTGGGCAAGTTTGAAGAAGACCAATGCAAGTGGCCAATTTAGACGAGCTTTGTGGGACTGCCGATACGTTAATGCGCTATTAGTTATAATGGACGACGTAAAAAAATATGAGTCGCGACGCCAAATGAGGTCTATTTGCGTTGGCACTTCCCTGTACTCGGCAAATTAGTCAAGCGACATCGAATGATGGCAAGGCGAGACATATTGGCCTTCACTTGGCCAACCAACATATATAAGCGGCGTGTTTCTTGCACCAACAACTAGCTTGTTGATGAAAAAGTAATCCTATTATCCATTGCAAACGGAATATTAATCTCGAGAAAGGAAAAACAAAGCCATTACCATTCATGTCAGGAGTTCTCTCACAAAGTGTTGTGTTTTCACATAACGCCCATAAATTCACCAGACTAAACAAGATGTTTGCTGGCGTTTTGTTATTCTGTTTTCAGGATTTGTTTCGAGCGACGTTTTATTTTTAGTATATTGAAACCAAAACTAAACTCATCCTACCAAAGCTAAATATAATCCTTTAAAAGGTTTTAAAGATTACTGCGGACAAATATCATTTATATCGAAACCTCGTCTTTCCCACTTTACCCTTATGGAAAGGTATCAAAAATTTGATATTATTTAATTTACAAAATAATAATAAATTAAAAAGCTAAAATAAATTTTCTATACCTACAAATGGTAAAAGCCTGTCAAAGAAGATTTGTTCCAGTTAAATATTTTGACCATTCATTAGCTAGCAACTTGGAATTTTTATTGTCGCAGAATATCATGTGATACCAACTATTATCCAATACTCAGATCCAATGTCTCACGGACGGCGAGATTCTAAGAGGATCTCAAGCCGAGAATTGGCGAATACCTCTAGAGGTATTCCAGGCGGCTGATATTTCGGGGGGAGTCTCCTTTCCGTGTGGAGCCTCTAGACCACTCAAACCTGAGGGAGGCGGCTCAACTAGAGGGCGTCTCTGAGACTCGGTTGCGCTGCTTTTTCGCTCATGTCAAGCACTGGTGTGCGCATTGTTGATAGGAATCATCATCACGAGCCTTTTAATGTCCCCAATGCTGGAGCACAAGTCTTCCCTATCGATGAAATAGGGAGATTAGGTCATGACCCACCGGTCAATCTCCCTATTACATCGATCACACGGCCCTAGTACGGATTGGCAGGGGCTAACGACTGTAGTTGCAGCCGAGACCAATAGCTTAACGTGCCTGCCGAAGAAGGGAGGATTTGGAAATAGTAAATTTTTGGTTATCCATCCAATGAGCGACCACTGCGAAAGTTCCTTAACTTCAACGATCGCAGCTTAATACGCCAATCACTTGCGCCAATGAGCTCTTCACTAATGCAATAAATTACTGGTTGAAGGTCTCTGGGTAGTTGAACTACAGTCGCGCTGCAGCCGTGCTATTTCGATATATGTACGGTTACAAGCCTACGTTTGTCAGATGACTGTAGCGCTTCTTAGGCGTCCATTAGACACTCATGCAGCCGTCTGTCAATACAATCTGTCATGAATAATAAAAACCGGTCATCAACACCCTGTTAGACGACAGCTTAATCATCACTACCGTCTAATGGTGCCCAACGGGGAGTGCTATTAGTAAAGTAGACTCCCAGATCTATGTGTTAAAATGGTGGCAAACGAGCATATGTCCCGCCTGATGGTAAGTGGCCATCATATCTATAGATAGCTATAGCTTACGATACAAGAAAATATCAGTATCGCCAGTGCCGTCTTTGACCTATTGGAGGCCCTGGGTATATTAGGATAATGGGGCCCCTATGACCCCCGTTTGGTGATCTAACAAGAACTAGGGACTTTGTATTTGTGATCTGAGGTGCCCACTTATCAATCACGGGGCACTGGCCACTTGCCCAAAGTGCCCACTCGGAAAGACGGGTCTGACTATCGCCGTTGCCCCTAACCTTACCCAATTTGCTACCCCGTGGAGCTCTGGAACCATATTCACCAACAGAAACATAACACCACTAAAAGGTAGTGTTATTTTACTGTAGTCTTCTGTAAGGTGGAGGTTACTTCCCCAGACTCAGCGCTAAATCCGCTATGCCTTAGTATCGCCGCACACTTGCCACCGACCACAACCACAAAACGCCGCCACCGGCATATTTCTTGTAGTTTTCATACATTTTATATGGACTCGCCACACACAGTACGCCGGTGACCGCCACTCGCTACAAATCATCGTTGCTCGCTTCTTGTGGCCCGCACCGGCCACTTAATGCGCCGATACAAAACGCCGCCACACGTCACTCGCGCGATTCCCCACCCCTCTCTCCCTTACCTTAGTCGGCCGCTGTCGCGCGCTTCAGCCACTTAAGTAGCCGCTTCTAACTTCTCGTGGCGGCGTTTGTGGCTGTGGCGTGTGGCCCGTGTGCGGGGACACTTACCTCTCTTATTGTGGTGAAGTGTAAATCACGTCCGTTAGCTATGTATTAATGACACTTCCCCGCTACGATTAGGTATTTAAGCCCTAAGCACGTCGTATAAGTATTGTAAAGAGTATATAAGATGTAGGTTAAGTTAATAAAATGTTGATTCCACACTGAACGCTTGTCGTGATTTCTCCCGTGAGTCACCCACACCCCATCACCACATTATCTTCATGTTACCATAATTAATCTTTAATCACCATGACCCTTTACCAACACTACTATAATTGGTTATTGCAGATAAAGATGTTGATCAACAACTTTGACATGAAGGTCTCACTGATCAAGCTCCAAGCGCCGCTGGTGTACGGCGCGAGGGTACGATCCGTACACCTGCCAGCCCCTGACGACGAGCCGACGCTGGGTTACCTGGCTTCGATAATGGCATGGACACCTTCTGGGGTATGATAAATAAATAAATATTTCCAACACTCACACCAATTAGCCTAGACCCTAGCTCTGTAGGCTTGTGTTATGGGATACTAGGGCTAGGGTAACGGATAGAATACATACTAATACATACATAAGTAATGTGTATACAAATATATATTAAACATCCATAACTACAGTACAAATGCTCGTATTTATCACACAAACATCTGCCCCCAACGGGACTCGAACCTGGGGCCTCTCGAGTAGGCGACCCTTAGTGACCTGAATCCAAACACATATCCCGTGAAGACCAGTAGGAAGATTCTGTAAAATAAAATCTCACTTCCGATTTCAATAGCTGTAATTTTAGACATTATTTTGATATGCATTACGCCATTACATGGCAAAATGTCACTATGTCTGTAGAAGCAGTCAGTATTAGATATTTTACATTTGTCAGAAATACGAATAAATGTGATCATAAGTGAGATTACATCTTACAGAATACCTATGGCTGGAACCTTACGCATCAATAAAAATACAACACCGGCAAAAGGAAGTGTGTTATTTCAGGTAATCTTCATCATAAGTTATTCTTCTGTAATGTGAAGAAGGTAACTTCCCCAGACGAGCCTTTACACCATAATATATATTGTTTATTATATTTTTATTTTAAGAATTGAACTGCTAGATAAAAAAATTTAAAGAAAATTTTAATAGAGAAAAAAGCTGTTAGTTCTAGCTATCAGACAAGATTCGCACAGATAGCGGTAGTTGCAGGTTCGGATACTGCCTGATGCCTGGACCATGTGGATTTTTTCTTGTAAAATTTTCTTTAGAATTATATTTTGTGTTCATTTTATCCCATCAGCACATTCGGGTGGTCAATGTGCCCATAATAGAGTCATCATTGTGTGAGCCTTACACGAAGATGCTGCCAGGAAACTACATCTGCACTGGGGGAGTCCAGGATCCGAACAGGCACTTCTGTCGGGTAAGTTTCCTTTAAGCCCTGGTCTGTGTAAGCGGCGGATTTCTGCCACGCATAGACGGTACAATATTAAGATATGGAATAGATAAATAGAAATAAATAGAGAAACTAATTAAGGTTGATTTAAGACAAAAATGAAGACAATAGGTTCAGTAGAACTCGAAACATAACAGTTTTTGTGAAGCGCGGGAACCAAAAGGGTTTGACGGCCATTTCCTTACACAGATGTGGGGTTAATGCCGTTATTACTTATTAATGATCATTATCAGGCTTGTTTCGATAACTTTCTCATATATGTTTATTCAGCTTGACGGCACATGAAAATATGTACCACCTTTACACTTATCTCTGAATCACTACCTTGCACTGTACCCGTAGCACGAACCAAAATCGAGTTCGTAACGTTTGTAAAAATGTCATTGTCAAATATGTACTGATTTTTAGTTCCCGTTAAAGTAGCGCTGCTGTTCACGTTTCCATACAAAATTTGACATTGACATTTCGGTTTGGAAACTATTCGAATTCGATATTGGTTCGTGCTAGGGGTACTAGTTTGTTTATTGTAGAATTTTTAGCCATCCCCTAAAACTCTACACAGTTTTTTTTATGTAAGAAGGGTGGCAAAAAACCTGAGGCCCGCCTGATGGTAAGCGGTCACCATACTTGTACCGTTGCCTACCCTGACATAATTCAATACCTCGTGGAGCTATGAAATCTTATTTACCGACAGAAACACACCACCACTAAAAGGTAGTGTTATTTTACTGTGGTCTTCTGTAAGGTGGAGCTTACTTCCCCAGACGGGTGCTCCAATTCGAGCGCGAAATCTGCTACATTTCTTGATACAAACGCCTACATATGAAATATTATATTAAAGGAGGCGAGAGTATTGATAAAATGTTAAGTAGAAATAAAAAGTTCGCCAATTGTCTAAAGCACCTGTCCGGTGAGTAAGCTTGAAAATGATTCTCTGAAAGCGCGGAGAAAAAGCTACAGGTTGATATTGCAAACATCGTTTTCCAATAAAATTATTACGAACATGTGACGACTTGTTGGTATTTATAACGTTTTTTTGATTCACTCACACATATTTTGTTCCAGCATGTATTTACTTGCATCTGAATTAAACCTGACATTAATTATCTTTTATTAATTTTAGTAACTTTCAGAAAGTGTGGAACGATCTTGGTTAGTTTTCAAGTTATAAAAAGGTCACGGAATTTTAAGCTTTTACCAGCGATTCTATCAGCATAGTTTATTAGGTCTCTTAAACTTACATCCTTCTTCATGGAGGACCTGAATTCATTTAAACAAACAAACGATCACATTTTATAATATAAGTTGGGATTAATCTCTAAAACTCTATTGAATTCATTCGAATCCAACCTGTAGATTGTTGCCAATAAAAGAAAATGGAAGTCGAATAAGTGCTAGATTGATAAAACATAAAAAGCGATTGAATTTCTGCTCCAGTTACTTATTGTGCTAATTTATAGACTTCTGCGCCTCGAAAACATTTCTGATATTTCGATTCGAAAGGAAATTTCTAGAACATTTTTGTCATCTCCTTTTCTTGTTTTTTTTGTGTTATCTTTAATTTACTTTATGATAATCCTGAACAACAATATTATTATTATGTGGGAAGCTCATAGTCTGGTCCCTGAGATACAGGATTACCCAGTTTGAGGATTATTTTGTATAACGTATGTGTTGTGTAATCAAAGGGCACCACGACCTGACACACACCGCAGAACGTTGAACTAACGCGTGACTGGTGACATGACGTCACACTTTTACGTGCGTGCAGCCGGTGTTCATCGATTTATTCATTTAAGACGTTATCACGTCAACAATATAATAAAATAACAATTATGTTTTCAAGCTCGCGACACAATTAAGTCGAACTAAATGTTTCTATCACTACAATAACCCCACCTGTTTACAAGGAACATTTAAATTGAATAATAAAAAAAACTTCTGCTCTTTTACGAAGAGATGTCTGAAACTTTGTAATAAAATCTCGTTTTTAATAACTCCCACACCGCTGAAAATTTTTAGAATCATAACTTTGTTATACTTACTTGTTATTCTTACGTTACATTGTTTTAAATTTCCAATCTTCCATCATTTTGTTGAATTTGGCGAAGTTCTTTTAAAGTTTTTAATATATAAAATCAAAAGGGAGGTATATAACAGTTAAGGAATATACCAGTATTTTCTTTTATGATCAACAGTTTCAGGCACTTGTTCCACCACCAACGATGAACGCGAAGCGACTAGAGCTAGAAATAGGAAACGAGTTGACGATCGGTGGAAAGCGAGTGTTTAATTCAGATAGTTCTATAGCTGGACTATAACCGAGTGTGCGAGTACGACGGGAAATCGATATAACACGCGCCACTCGCTCACGGAAGCGAAATTCACGCGCTCTCGTTCTGCCGGATAAGCGGGCATCGCTGCGCGAGTATTGTGTTTGATAGCTTTTTTCGCTTAGCGAAACTAGTGGAGCGAGTTTTCGCCGGCACTGGGAACAGTCAGCAATCAACTAATAGCAGTTGTAGTAGTATCCGCACTCATGACGCACTTTTTTTTTTAAATAAATTTATTGGTACGATTACTTTAAGGCAAAGAGAAAAAAATAACTCAGCCTTTTAATTTCTTTTCTTTTTCTTTGTTTTTTGGTATTTTAACTGTGATTGTGTGATTTAAATAACTACTTTTAATCGCAACAGCCTTAGGCCCTGCCAAAATATCAGCGCCGCAGCGGCCTTGGTGTTGTTGTGGCATTTTGCTGAGGCAGGGACCTAGTTAACTTAATTTTTTATTTTTTTATGTATGCTTTATTTCTATTGTTCAATGTTATTGGTAAATAAATTAATTCTTTCTTTTCTTTCTTTCACGTACGTTTGATTTGATCGGCCGTATTTGGCAGATGACACTCGAGCATAGTTCGACCGATAACGGTTTAATCATCAGCAGCCTATTAATGGATGAAATAACGAGATTAGGCAATGACCCACCACGCGGGCCAAGTGCGGATTGGTGGGTGGTAACGGCAGATGCAGCCGGGACCAACGGCTTAATGTGCCTTCCAAAGCAAGGAGGAGTTCGTGATAAATAATTTTTGGTCACCCATTGTAGTGTTTGTTTTTAAACAGAGCGTGACACTGACACGTAGGACAGCTGTTTTGTCTATGATAGCGAACCGCTTACGTCGGCGTAACTGTCAAACTTCATTGAGTGGGTTGGTAGCCTTGAGGGAAGAGTCGATTTTCCTATTCGACTAAAATATTCGCCTTGAGACTTATAAAAAAAAAAAAAAAAAAAAAAAAAAGTAATCAGGCGGTGAATCTCTGTGGGGGCGCGTGGATGAATGGATGGAGTTTGACAGTTGTTGAATTTTGAATAGTCTTTCCCAGATCGATTTGAGTCCTCCTTATCGGGTGCTGTTTTTAATCGATTTTGAATTTTACTCGAAATTGAATTTCCTCGCTGATTTGGGTAGGTATTCCCTTTTCCTCAGCTTACGGCGAGCGTAGGTATATAGTTTTGAGTTTATTCTTCGGTTCGTCTCGAATGCGGCGGCTGTCTGTTTGACTGTGGCCTTTGCCTTCAGTTGAAGTGGGAAACAAATCATAGACACATGTTTGGGGAGTGGACGACCCGTCTATCATCTATGATCAATTGTCAAAACAACTTTTAAAATTTCACAATCTGTTTGTGGTACGTTTAACTTTTCATCTTTTCTTCTGCCCAAAGTATAATAAAAGGCATATTATTCTCGTCGGAGTCGTGAGATAGATCCGAAAAGTTTATATCCCGAAGGATATTGGCGGAAAAAGCGCGGAGTCGCTAACCGAACTGAGTTTCGTAGGTGGACGAACACGAACCTTCGCAAGGCGATTGCAATAATAAGGCGGTAACTTGTGATAGGAAACAAAATACTTACGGATAGTTTCATATTTCGAACGGCTTGTACGTTCCCCTCAAGAAATACTGGAGGACTAACAAGGAGACTTTTGTTCTGTGCACGGACCAGAAGGGACGCGGGAGTTTATTTGCCAGCCGCTCTCCGGTTTTATGTAACCCGGCCGTAACAGCAGACAGATTATACACAGCTAAACCTATCATACTCAAGGTATTTCTCTACTAACCCCGGGTGAACGTGGAGAGGAACCATCAGGCGAGGTTGGACCCCGACTTACCCATTTCCATATATATACAGATATCTATATAACTGGTTATCTCACTGAGAACTAGAATTAACTAAGTTTGTCACCAATATCGATCAAACGAGCCGTAGAACCTCTGAAATCCACTAAATAGCTTATTCAGTCTAGTCTATGTGGTATTTGTGGATAAAATATATTAGTAAGTATTATATTGTAAGTACATGGTAAAGTGTTATGAATGTCTGATATTCATATAATTATAACCTTTCATGACAACTTGTTGGTTTATATACACATTAACTTTGAACTACTGTATTCAGCTTAGATATTTATAATTAGTGAAACATAGTTATTATATAAATAATAAACATAGTTAGACTTGTTGATTTATATAAGCAATAACTTAAAACTACTGAATTCCTAGGCTTTGGTATCTAAAGTGGATAAAATATACTTATAACATTATCTTAATTTTTTGGTTTTCTTTTATTGTTCCCCCAGTGCTCTGAGTGAGCGAGAAGAGGGCTGGAGAGGGGAATTTAACATCACATGTGGCGCCCGAACAAGTGGAAACAAGGCTTTGTAGCATTTACTTTGCTCTTTTTTTTGGTCATTAATTGCTCAAAAAAGGTTGATCGATATTGGTGATTTTTTTTTTTTAATTTTTCTTTTTTCTCTGAATTATTTGGCTTATATCCAAAGATTTGTTTATCTGGTTATACTGTGTTGTAAACATAATAATTTGTAACATCGGATGATCGATATTGGCTCAAAATTTACAATCAAAAAAGTCATATTTACTTTTTTTATACCCTTATTTAAAGAAAAAAA